GTGGAAGGCGGTGTAGGAGGCGGGGTCGGGCGGCGCGGAGGTGCCGCCGTAGCCGCGGAGGTCGTGTGCCACGCAGCGGTAGCCCCGCGCCGCCAGGTGCTCCATCTGGTGGCGCCACGAGTACCAGAGCTCCGGGAAGCCGTGCACGAAGAGCACCGTGGGGGCCGCGGCCGAGGCCGGGCCGGACTCCGCGACGTGCATCGTGATGCCGTTCGCCTCCACCTGCCGGTGCCTTATCTCCCGCGCCGCCGCCGCCGCCGCCATGGTCGGACGAACCGGCCGGGCTCTGTCGCTCTTAATCGACGGGCGTGTCGTGCCGCTTTGCTCGGGTGACACTGAAGCGGGTGGGGAAGGGTTGCTGCCTTTTGACTCTGCCGACGTATTTTTTCGAACACGCTACCCAACCGCTCATATACACGCGTATAGTGGCTAAATTTTGTGTTTTGACCCTTTTTCAAAACGTATTCGAGATCTGACCCTATTTTGCAAAAAATTTGGGATCTGATCCTTTTCTTACCGCCAAAGCCCCTGACGGTAAGCTATAACAGCCTACCGCCAAGGCCCCTGGCGGTAGGGTATAACAACCTACCGCCAAGACCCGTGGCGGTAGGTTTTTTTTTCTAAGTATAGAACAGTGTATGCTCGCACCTACCGCCGAGCACCTACCGCCGAGCACCTTGGCGGTAGGGTTGTGCAGTTTACCGCCAGCCTGTATGGCGGTAGGTGTGTTTCCTACCGCCAGAGGCCTTGGCGGTAGACTGTTATACCTTACCGCCAGGAGCCCTGGCGGTAAGAAAGGGTCAGATCTCGAAATTTTTGCAAAACAGGGTCAGATCTCGAATAGGTTTTGTAAAAGGATCAAAACACGAAAATTTGCCGCGTATAGACTTATTCCTATAAACGCACACACGCACATCCTACCCTTGTGAGTATCTCGTCATCGACGGAACGTCTCTCACTGATCGCCGAAAATTCTGAAATAAATATAGAAATAAATGCGAGCACCGGGACTTGAACCCTGATGGGCTGAGGATATCACAGTCACTCTAACCATTTAATCACAGGTTGGTTCGCATTTTGATGACAATTTTAGTTGTTGCGAGATGGCAATTTTTTGCCAGCACCAGCAAACTTCTTGTGGACTACATAATTGCAGTGGAGTTGTCATACTCACTAACTAAAATTGTCATGCTCATCTAACACAAATTATCATCAAAACCATTCGCAAATGTCATCTTCTCCCAGCGAAAGACTCAAAATCGGTTGCCAACAATTTATAGTTTATCAAAGAAAATTAAAGTTAAAATAATGGACAACATCACCCCAGGCAGTACATGCTTGTAATCCATCACCACCAGTTTAGAGGGTTCGAATAGTCAGTCAATAGCTCTCACTGAAAGAGACACAAACTGTCAAGGTGCGAAAGAAAATCAACAGATTAGGGGACACAAACTCTCACAAGGCATTCCTCGATGCCGGTCAAGATTTCGTCGAGGTAGAGAGAGACCGGAGAGATCTTATTCCAACACGTTATAGTCGCCGCCGCCTCATCGATGTCGCCAGAGAAACAAAACCTTACAAAATACCAACAGACCCCTACTCCTCTTACCATCAACGAGTCCACCCGACAGGGAAGGGGATGGGGCATCCTCAGATATGGTTCTCTAAGTCAGGGGTTTTCTTCTACAAGTTTGTCTCGTTAGCATTGTTATGGTGTGGTTATGTATCTTGGTGAGTAACGCTACCTCCACGAAAGCTTACGAGGATTTTACAGAGTGATTTTGGAAGGGCCCGTAAAACTCCTGTAACAGGCCGTAGTTTTAGTATTTTTGTATCTTGGTTTACCGTCTCTGGTTTCGACCAATGAAGGTTGGCTAGATTCAGCTTCATCGGGGGGCATGTGAGAGTTCTATTCCTTAAATCCATCTGACTATCCGTTATTGCAGATGGTCTACATCGATGACTTTTTGGCCGCTGCTTCTATAAGTTTCTGAGTTTAACTAGTTCACTTCGCCAAAGACAGAGGCTCAGAAGCACGAGGAAGAAGACTCCGGCACCCTAAAAAATGATTACTTTTTTCGGAAACACTAATGCCCACATGTGTGAGTGTTTGCATCTCGCCCACAAGTATGGATCCGTGTCCGTTTGTGGGTGCACGAATCTTGGCATGTTTGTGTTGCCACATAGGATTGGGCTGGTGTGTGGGCATTCATCCGGTCGTCCACACGTCCGTTTCACCACACGAAGGGGCCGGCGTGTGGACATTTAGCAGTTCGCCCACATGCCAGATTTCACTCACGCACAAGGACTGATGTGTGGGCATTTGCCATCTCGCTCACACGCCCGTCTCCTCTCCCACACTCAAGCTGTCAGTTGTCATGTGTTTTGCAGTGTACATGGCAACTGCACTAATGTGCTTGTAAGCAGATGGCAACCTTTTTTTTTTACCCAAACATGTCAGTTGCCATGTGTTTTGCAGGGTACACGGCAACTGCCCTAGTGTGCTTGTAAGCAGACGACAACTCTCTCTTTTACCCGAACATGTCAGTTGCCAGGTGTTTTGCAGGGTACACGACAATTGACTAGTGTTAGTAGGTGGCAACTCCTAAAGTTTTCAAATCATGGCAACTGTAGTAAATAGACTATACATGGCAACTGCCTAGTGTTAGTAGGTGGCAACCCTTAAAGTTTTCAAATTATGACAACTATAGTAAACCAGACCATACATGGCAACAACTGCAGTTGTCCAAAAATGGCATCTGGCACTTGACCCGAGATGGCAACTGCAGTTGAGCAACCATGGCAACTGCAGTTAAACGAACATGAAAGAGGGTCCAGACCATGGCAACTGCGGGCGCGTGGTGACTGTCACACGAAACGTGCGGGACCATGAGATAGGAGGCCTGACGTACGGGCGTGTGGGCGTTATCTATTTTGTCCACACATAGGTATGTGAGAGGGGACCGTGAGGAAAAATAAAGGCGTGTGGGCATTACTTGTTTTGCTCATATGTAAGTGTGTGGGCTGATCTTTTTAAACACCACACAAAACGTGTGGGCAGACCTTTTAACACCCACACGTGCGTCCTACTTTTTTCAACTTCTGTAAGTTGTTTTTATGTACTACTAAGCTTATATATGATCACGTTTGCCCTTTTATAGACAAACTGTTATTAGTAAAGAGTTCTGACGTGACCATGCATACGCATGGGCATACAGAAACAGAGCTCCGTCGATCAAGCAGAGCAATTACTATTATCCACGGTAACTGATGCGATGAATTGACAGGCCAGGCCAACGAACAACCAATGAAAGTACGAAACGAACGATGATCAAACTGACAACACACGACGAACGATCGATTTTCAGCTGTTCTTCAGAACTTTGCGATGAAGCTGTAGATGTGGTCGCTGACCTCCTGCGCCCGCTCCTGCTGGATGAAGTGGCCGGCGCCGGGGACGACGACCAGCTCCTCCAGCAGCGGCACGTCCGCCTTGAGCCCGCCCTTGTGCAGGTAGTCCTGGATCCCCGCGTAGTGGTACGTCAGGTCCCCGTCCCCCACGATGAACTTGGTCGGCACCGTCACCTTGGCGTCCGCCCACGGCGCCGCCAGCTCCCAGTTCCGGTCCATGTTGCGGTAGTAGTTGATGGCGCCCGTGAAGCCCGTCTTCTCGAACGCGGCGGCGAAGTAGTCGATGTCCGCCTCCGTGAGCCACGGCGGGAGCGCCGCGTCGGCGTCGTCGCCGCCGCCGTCCTTGGGCTCCTTGCCCGCCGCGCGCTCGCTGAAGCGGTCGCTCAGGATCCGCGTCATCAGGTGCCTCGCGTGCGCCGGCGCGAACTCCTTCTCCGCCACGCCGGGCTCCTGCACCACGTCGCCGTTGGTTAATTCCCAGTCGCCATGCATGGTGCAGAGTAGAGTAGACAGAGCACGTATGAGCAGGGGAGGAGATGAGCAAAAGACCTGGAAGCGGCAGATGTAGTAGGTCGGGCCGTAGGCTTGGTTGAAGTAGTCGGTGGTCTTGACGGCGTCGGCGCCGGCGCGGATGAAGACGTGGCGCATGAAGGCGACGCTGGTGTTGACGAGCGCCGTCACGCGGTCCGGGCGGAAGAGGCAGAGGTACCACGCGATGATGGCGCCCCAGTCGTGTCCCACCACGAACACCTTCAATCCATCCATGCATCCATCAGAATCAGATCATGCTCAGTAAATACATTTGCAGTTACCCGACAATTAAAAACTGCTAGTATTGCTCATCTACGGAACTCGATCCGATTGATTTGTCAATTTGAGTTTCCAAGTTCTCAACGGCGCCTTCATGCATACATCTGCCCACATATCGGTTCGTACACTTGAGAGAGAACCAACTGTACGTACTCCTGTGCACATGTATATCCATCATCATACCAAGATGTAGTCTAATGGAGTAGAAAACAGATTGTTCAATCTTATCCCCTGCATCAGTGATGATCGGCACATTATTCTTCTGTCCTTTTTCTCAAGAGTACATCAATGGCGTACCTTATTTTTTATAGAAGACAGAAAGAATATTTACAAGATACCAAGCCAAGATGTGAACATCTGATTGATAGAAACCCCACACCCACACCAACTATAACACACTAGATCACTCTCTCACAAAAGGGTCTAATCCTCCTACACCAAAGCCAGCTATCCTCCAATCCTTCACCTCGAGCAACACCAGATCAGCCAACTGCGGTGGGGGGCCTGTGTTCGTGCAGTCTATGAAACACCCTGGCGTTCTGTTGCTTCCACAATTGTGCATGGCCGGGACACTAATGGCGAGACGGAATAAATACACGTGCATGGCCGGGACACAAACAGTATAATACCACAACACTGTGCGGCTGTACTAATAGTACGTACTATACGATGTGTACAGCACATGCCATTGCACCACTGTGGAAGATGCCTCTGACAGCCCTACTTGTCTATACTTCTTTTTTAAAATTGATCGAAAGAACGTGGGCTGCCAACGTATAAACTATAGGATGTTTGTACGCCATTTACTTAAACTCGTGTTATGCATTCATTCCCTCTTCCAGCAGGGCCCACACTACATTCATTTCTACGACAAGTAATTTCGAACGGATGGAATACATATTATCCTTACTTGGCAACAGCGTCTGGCCACTTGTCACAGGGCAAACAAAACGAAACAAGTACGCTGACCCCCAAGCACGGATTGATGCTTCCATTGAAGCCAAAAAGGAAAAAGAAAAATACATATCAGTTGATCTAGATATCGTTTAAAGAAGATCACTCGGTCTATCTTCTCTTTGTACATTCCTTCTTTTTGTGTAGTATATATAGTATTATTTCCGTTCGGAAATACTCGTCAGAGAAATGAATGTATCTAGACATATTTTAGTTCTAGATACATCTATTTTTATCAATTTCTCCGACAAGTATTTTTGGACGGAGGGAGTATGTACTAAATACATTTTTTTTCTATAAATTTATGGAATATGAATCCTACGTTTTCCCCATAGAAAAGTTGGTTATTCTAGCCAATCTTGTAGTACAAATTTTGGAGAAAATGACTATACAGCACTGTCAAAAATTGGAAGATGGGGTACTTCACATGTGTTGAGACACTCTACAACCTATACATATAGAAGGACAAAACAACAAGCAAGGCATCCTTTTCCATCACGTGACAGATCTGAGTAGCAGCAGCAGCCGCCTCTGCATTGTCAACGAAAGAGAAGGAAAATACTACGTACTGAAAAGAAGAAATAAGATTTGCTTTCAAGTTGATCGCACTCATGAAAGTCACATTCCTGGTGGTGGAAAGAAGAAAAAAGGGACGTCGATATCGCTGCTTACAAAAGATCACTTGATCCATCTTCTCTTTCTGCATTCCTACTTTTTATGTGCACCAAGACCTAAAAAAAGTTATATAATAAATGTACGGAATATGAATCCTACGTTTTTTCCCCATGAAAAAGCTGGTTATTGTAGCTACTCTTGTAATACAAATTTTGGAAAAATCACTCCCTCCGTTCATAAATATAATATGTTCTGTTCCCTCCGATCCAAATTGATTGCCACTGATTTAGTGCAATGTGGTGTGCTAAATCAGTGATAATTAATACGGATTTGAGGGAGTAGTTTTTCTTTCTGAATTAGATGTATATACACGCGCGTTTTAGTGTGTATGTGCACTCATTTCAATCCATATGTATAGTTCATATTGAAATATTTAAAACATCTTATATTTCCGAATGGAGAGAGTATATAGCACTGTCAAACATTGGAAAAGGGAGTACTCCTACTTCACATGTGCTGCTACACAGAATGACAAAACAACAAGGCACCCTTTTCCATCACGTGACAGATCCCACTAGATGAGCAGCGGCAGCCTTTTCCATCACGTGGCAACGAAAGAGACGAAAATTACTATACTACAAGAAAGAAGAAAGAAGAGTTGCTTTCAAGTTGATCACACTCGTGAACGTCACATTCTCGGCGGCGGAAAGGAGAAAAAAAGGGACATCGATATCGACAGATGGATGACCATAACTCGGACCAGCACACAATTTAGCAAAAAGAGAATAATATGTGGTTTCCATTTAGCAAAAAAGATGCACGTCGACTCTTTTTTTGTTTAGGAAAAGGACGCTCGCACTGGATTGAAGCTGTCTTTTTCAGAGTCATCTTTGAGATAGGCGAATGAAGTCCAAGAATCACCTCATGTAAAAATTTTGCACAACCAAAAGTAGAGAGATGTCCACCTATTGGATTGCGTTCGATTCGTTTCAGCTGGTTAATTTTTAGTTATTTTGATGGTTTTTTTTAACAACTACCTATCTTTTCCCTGATAAACAATCAGTCTACTAATAACGACTTAGCGAGACCGAATGTAAATAATAAAGTAAGCATATGCAGGGAGGGGGCATAAGGCCTTGTACAATGCAAGTTGCTTAGGAGAGGTGTTTGAAAAATAAATTAGGCTTTTCTTAATTAGGCGTCTCTTAGGTAGAAATAGGTGCTTGAGAGAACTCAAACAAGTACAGTAGTACCCTATGGAACAGAGCAAGGAGTACTCCGTGGTATCGCACAGTTCACGGCTTTTTCTTCCTTTGGAGTGGACGGTTCACAGGTCACCGCTGTAGAACAACAGGTCACGTTTGCCACTGCTAGGTCAAATTCGTTCGAAAAGAAAAAGAAAAGAAAGCTTTTTCCCATTCGCTTGATTGATGCTGGTTCGTCGCACCCGTGACTGTCACATTCTCGAGCGGTGACGGGTTGGAAAATGAGACGGCGAGATGGATGGGCCAATGGATGGAACGGAACGGAACGGATAGCTGCTCCATCCGTGAGAGTGAGACGGACCGCGACCCGCACCCAACGGAACGGGACGCCGATGGAGCAGCAGCGTGGGGGGGATGCGATGCATGACTAAACTAATCACTACTTGACGTGGCTTTGCTTGACGCGTACCTTGCGGATGCCGAGGGCGTCGAGCAGCGCGACGGCGTCGCCGACGACGTGGAAGGCGGTGTAGGACGCCACGTCGGCGGGCGCCTCCGTGCCGCCGTAGCCGCGCAGGTCGGGCGCCACGCACCGGTAGCCCCGCGCGGAGAGGTGCGCCATCTGGTGCCGCCACGAGTACCACAGCTCCGGGAAGCCGTGCAGGAACAGCACCGCCGGGCCGTCCTCCGGCCCGGACTCCGCCACGTGCATCGCGATGCCGTTCGCCTCCACCGTCCGGTGCCTGATCGCCGCCTCCCCCGCCGCCGCCGCCGCGCCGCCCTGAGCCTGCGCTGCCTCCACGCCGTTCACCGCTCCCGCCATCCTCTCTCTCTCTCTCTCTCTCTCTCTCTCTCTCAAAAGCAAGCTAGAGCTAGGCGTGTGTGTGTTGGGTTGGGTTGTGTTTGCGGTGGACACGGGAGCGGGGCGGCCGGGTGGTATTTATGCGGGTGCTGCTGCTGTTCGGCGCCGGAAGGACGAACGTGCACGTGAACGGCTTCAGTGTGAAGACACACGAGGCGCCGGAAGTGGGAGGGTCAGACTGAAAATGTGCCACTCTTGACTGACGTGCCCCCTGACGCACTCGCTCACCGCTCACGGCGCGACGTGGGAACTCTCGATCCGCGGCGCCACTCGAGCCGGCCGGCCGGCCGGCCACCGGTGATGGGTTCAGTGCCACAAGATTCGTCTTCGCCAGCTTTCCGGGAAGGCTTTACTTGGATTTCTACGTCTGGTGTAGTATGCTTGGATTGCGAGGATTTCAAGATTAAATTCGCAGGATTTCCACGGATGCTCCCACGCCTATTCTTCTCGCTGGAGTGGAGTACGCCCTATCTGACGTAAATGATAGTACTATACAGTAATAAAAATTGCAATATCTTGTGGATGCCCATATTGATTATAAGAGATTGTGGAAATAAAAGAAATCCTTGCAAGAGTGAAGATGCTATCTTCGTGGAGGGGTTGTTTTTGACAAAGGACAACCATGCAAATCGTGGTTGGTAAAGGGAGTAGACGTTGGCCCGCAAAATAAAATAGACGTTGTATGTTTTGCCGTCGTCACAAATCGATCTAACCCGAGTTGGCTCTTGCAAAAGCCGCCTCCTTTGAGGTTGCCGGGACGGTCTGGATGCTGGGCGGCGGCCCTGGCGGTGGGAGATGTGTTGATCTTGGGCAGATAGGGATGTGGGTGGTTGGCGGAGCAGGGGGTGCCGAAGGGTTGGTGCACCGGGGTATATCACTTGCCCAGTCCCCGTACTGGCCGACGGTGGCGGTGTCCGCGGACGTCGTTTCCTTCCTGCAGGTTCCGTCGCGGTGCCCCCTTTCCCTTCGGGTTACTCCTGGTGAAATCTTGATTCGCGTGATCGGACGGTGGCGGCTATGGTCGTGCTCTTGTTGGAGGCACCGTTTTGGAGTCCTTGCTTCACCGTCGATCATCTCACCTTTCCTCGGTGGTTGCTCATGGTGATCTCCGTCGGCTCAAGGCGATGCCTCTTTGCTCATCTTTAGTGTGCTTTGTAGTTCGTTGGGATGGTGTGTCGGTGCCCAGTACCCTATCTCGCCCTGGGTGTGTGTTCTTGCCTTGGGTGCATGGTGTGTGTAGTGGTGGTGTGTGTTTGTATCGGCTCTCGGTTGTAATCGTTGATGAATGTTTTATAATATAAAGCGGGGGGAAACTCTTTTTCGTAATCGATCTAACATATATTTTGCAGGGCCTCTTTGATTCACAACATTTCAAAAACAGTGGGTTGAAATATCAAGCTAGTTGGTCTTTTGATTTATTTGATTACACCATGGAAAGACAAAAGGAACTACTCTCTTTGATGAGAGAATTCCTTATTTGACCCTTTCTTAAAATTTGCTTCCCTTTTTGGCCCTAAAATTTTTGTTTTTCCCTTTTTGACACTCAAACTTCATTTTATGCCTTATGTGACACTTCCGTTAGTTTTGGCTAGTAACGGTGTTAAGTCTGACCTAAAAAGACCGTTTTACCTCTAGTATAGTATGTGACCATATTATTTACGTGCAAACGCAGAGGTAATGCGATATATTTTGTCGTGGTTAAATAAAAAATAGTACTATATGATGAATCCTATTTTTTTGCGGGGGATAAATAAATAATATGATGAGTGGAACAATGACAATCCATTTATGCAGTACTGTAGCATATAAATTTGTACAGATTAATCTTACAGACGATAGATTAGACCGGGACATGTCAACAAGTGATGTGGATGACCTGTGTTCACGCCTCAATTGCTGCACACGCTCATGCCATTGCGTTAATTGCAATTTGCAAGAAGCCAAGAGTACATTGACCCGTTCCCAAAAAATGTTTCCCTCGAGGCCAAATAATCATCTAAACTACATACATGAATCGAGTCACTACCCATATACACGATTAAATCATCACAGCGTCACGACAACGCCGATGCTGCCATGCCGCAGCCCGCGATGACTCTGCCCTCGCGTCAACGATCAGTATGGCCGTGCCGCGGTGCCGGTGTATTGCGTGAGCGCGTCAACGAGCACGAGCATGCGTGAGCGCGTCAACGAGCACTAGTGCCAAGCTAGCTAGCTTGACGTGTGCTCCAGAATCAATCAAGGCAGCATGCCTGCCTGTTTAGGAAGTTAGCTTCGTACGTCTTCGTATGTGCACTCTTCGTACGGCCAGAAAGTACTCAGCTTAGCGCCCGAGCCGTGGTGAGGAGGAAAACAGGCAGGAGTGCAGATCCCCCCTCCTATATTTTTTTGTCGTTCACACCCCTTTGCTTCCTCTTTTCTGTTCATACTATCATCAGGGGCAAAATTGTCTTTCTACATGCCATTTAACATCATTGGATGGATAAATGGATGGAAGTGTCACACAGGGAATAAAATGAACTTTGAGTGTCAAAAAAGAAAAAAAGAAGTTCTTTGGGTCAAAAAAGGAAGCAAGTTTTAACAAAGGGCCAAATAAGGAATTCTCTCTTTGATTGAAATGGTTTTGAACTAAAACCACGACACTTGTTTGGAACTAGAGGCTACCGCGCGCTTTGATGCGCCGTTTTTCACCCGTAGGATTAACATTTTTCTTCTTCTTTAGCACGTTATTACGGTTGGTTGTTTTGTTTGGTTTATTTGCGTTGGTTTGGGTTTTAGTTATGTTCTAGCGTTGTTTTCTCATCTAGATATCGTGTTGGGCTGCTGATTTTTGCCTGCTTATTTTGTTGGCCTCCTGTTGATGATGGATTTTGTTTTGAGAGGATAGCTTTTTTGTTCGTTGTGTGGTTGGGTGTTCTTACACGTTTTGAACTCGGTTCAGACTGTGTTGGTTCTTTGAGCCTTTTGGGAGCTACTATTCGACAGTAAAACGAAGAAAATCACTGATATAACGCTCACTTATGGGCCAGGTCATCAAGCACTCGCTCGCTTGCTCGGTTTCTTTTTTCCCTTCGCTCCAATGCTAGCTCAGTAAATCCTATTATCACTTATTTATTTGAGAAAAATCATTAAATGAAAAGATGTTCAAAAATTTGTTTTTCCAAAGTTTTTCAAATTAAAAAACAACAAATTTTTAAATAAAATGTTCATGAATTTTAAAAGTATTTTGGATCTCAAACAATGTTCTCGAATTTGGAAAAGGTTCAGAAACTAAAGAAATTCTATAGACTTTAATAATGTTCATGAACTTTAAATATATCTATCAAGAATTCCAAAGAGCATTCAAGATTTTTCTTTAATGTTCATGAATTAAAATGTTGAAGCAAAAACAGCGAGAACAAGGAAAAGAAAAAACAGGAAAATATATATTAAAATAGGTAAAGAAAACATATAAAAGAACAAAAGATACCTAAGAAATACCTGTAGAACCTTCTCAAAACAGGAAAAAACGGCTGCCACTTTACCAGTATATACGTATGTGTTACTCCCAACAAGCGACACACCCCCATACAAGTGGGCCCTATAGAGACCCCACGCTGAGCTTAGTATTTGAATAAAAATGTTCAGTGTGTGTTTACAAAATGTTCACAGTGTATTTATCAAAAATGATTAACGTGTATCTGAAAATGTAGAACTTGTATAAACAAAAAGTTTAATGTATTTTGAAATAAAGTGGACATGTAGTTGTAAAAAATAAGAATAGAAAATCTCCGAAAAGAAAAAACAGTAGAGAAAAACCAAAACCAAAAAAAAAAATTCAAAGAACCGATTAAGAAAAACACAGTGAAGAAAAAAAAACACGGAATCGATGTGTGGCTGTTATTAGCGACGCACTGCCACACCCGATCGTAGGATGACAACCTGGGCCATCAGCCATCCACTGAGAAGGAGTGTGAAGAAAGCAGACACGCACTTACGTGCACAAGGAAAAAATGTCGCATGAATCGCTACGACTCGGCACTGAGTAGGCCCGTATACATGTAACGGCCGAAACACAGCCCAATAAATTGGCACACAACCGACCCAAAAGATCACGAGGCACCAGGAGCGTGCAAATCCTGGGAGCTTAGTAACTGTATAGATGAAGGGGGTATTTTTAAGAGAGCTGAGTGAATCCTAACTTTCGCATGAAATGCAATGAAAAGAAACCCATTAGGAAAAAAATTGACATGCATGATTCGATCAGATAAACGAAACGGCCATGTATGGAAAAATCGGAAGGATTCCAATTATCCAAAATTCATATGGAAATCATTTCAATCAAAGAGGCCTTGGTGTAAGTTCACACATGACGAATGGTTGTTGGTGGAGGTGGCTTCCAATCAGTATCCAACTGTAAACGGTTTCGTTATCGATTGTGGGGGCATACGAAAGAGGTTCCGTTCCAATATCTTGATGGAGACGGCGACCCTGTGTTGGGCTCTTTAGTTATGCCGAAATGATTTGGTTTTCACAATATATGTTGGGATATATATTTCTTCTCCACTTATGCACTCATGTTCACATTGGCACCATACGAGGTCTTTGCTTCAGCGTCGAAGCACATGGAGGATTTATGGCAGCATGTACATGGTTGTAGTGAACAACATAGGACTCTTATCACCTTAGGCTATCTACTTTGTTGCAAATTATGTAAGCTTTATCTTTTTCGGAAAACCGTTGGTACTCCTGGCCAACGGATTCCTGAAAAGGAGAATGGCACTTTGGCTCCCGGGAGCGCGCGCTCCCGCGTGAATAGTGAGATAAATATAGTAAAATATTTCAAAAAATTCTGAACTTTTTGTAGATGTTCATGTTAGTGTCGCAAGCATCCATGAAAATTTTCATGCGAAATGGAGCAGTGCTGTTTCGCCGGTGGAAAAACAATTTTAGGGTGACATTTCAAGGTAACATTTGGTGCC